ATTACAAATCATCATAATAAAATCAATACTTAATCAATATTAATCAGTTACCAGGATGAAGGAAGAATGTCTTGGGTCCTTTCCTCAGTTCCCTACAGCCAAGACGTGGTCTACCATCATCACCAAGAGGATTAACAACCACACAATACTGATGGTGAGATAAAACAGTCAACTGGACCTCATTGACAACCTCCTGCAGGATATACATACAAGTAATAAGACTAATCCTGTAGATGTTCTATTTGAATTTGTTAGTCCCAGCCCTAACTTCTTGGTCCAGCCTACAGGTATGTGTTGTTTAAAGTTTATCTATAACATGTCTGCGGGTACACTGTACTGATTCAGTGTCATCATTATAATAAACTATGAATATTGTTAGTGGCTAGTAACAAAAATTACATTAATTGCTACTAATTAGAGAAAGAGAGATAAAGGGATAACAATCAAGTCACAGGTGTATGACAACAGCCCAAGGTATAATAGTAATGTGTCAAGGGTGCTGCAAGTGTCTCACAAATACAAGTTTATAATATGTAATTTGATACACATTATCACTTATAGCAAATACATACTGTACTATAATGACAATCAACATACTGTACTACATCTCATACTACTACCATTTTTCATGCAAGGGTAAAGTGTAACTATAGTTGCAACTAGAAACATGTGTAACTAAGAATGAATATATGGACCACTGAATATAGGGACACTGAAGAATACTGTGCCAAGGTGCATATACACTATACATGTAACTATCAGGTATTAGCTGTATTACTGTTAAACGCTGACCTTTTCTGGTTTGGGTAAGTAGGTCAATGGTCCTCTCAGCTGCCACTCATCCCCAGCCTTATGAGCTGGAGCAGTATCAGTCTCCTCCATATCAACCAGAGCACTCAAGTGTATCCCATGATCTGCTTTTATGGTTGGGAGACGCTTAATAGCACGAGAATAATCTAATGGAGAGAGAGAGAGAAAGGAGAGATGAGGATGAGTGAAATACTCTTTTGTGTTGGATGCATAATAGTATATGTTTGTATAAATTGACTAGTGATTTCAGAAAAGATACTGTTTTCATGATATCAAGTAGATTATTTATAAACTAAACATAAACAAACACTGTTGATAAACATACATGTAGTGTGAACTATGGACCTACTGTAGGCTATAGCCATTAGTCTCCTTGCAGTTAATAATCACATTAATAATGAATGATACATTGCAATGGAATAAATGAATTAGGAAATGAACAATGAGAGAGAAAGTGAGAGTGAGAGGAGGGGAGAGAGGGGGAGAAGGAGAGTCATAATAGCAACCTACCAGTTGCACTGCCACTCTCAGGTAATCTCTCTCCAGGAAACAATGGGAAAGGATCCTAAAGTAAATGACAAGAACATTAACATTTATATTTAAGCAGCAAGCATTAGCTAATGATGTTATGCAGCTAATTACAAACAATAGGCAGCATGTGTTGTGTCCACAAGGGGAATCAGGGGAATTCCCTAACAACAGAGGGAGGGTCAATGAATAGTAATGTAATTAAAGGCTTAGAAAATAATTTTCCTGCCTAAAGTAGCAGTAATAATAAGTATTTTAAAAGTAAATGTATGCCATTTAACAATAATTGTTAATAACTTTCACTGAATTTTCTTTAACTCACTGTGTCTCCTTCTTTGATAGTTCATCATCTTTGGATCGTACCTGACTTGACAGTTCAGTAACTTTAACCATTGCCTATACAATACAATACATGTTACATATATATGTACATGTACAACCTTTAAATAAATAATACTGTACAAGATGATTTATTGGTGGGAGTAATATTCAGCAAATTTTCCTATGGAAAGAAATTGGTGGGTTTTATATTGGTGATTTCTTCATAGAACCACCAATCACCAATATTTATTCCTTGCCAATAAATCATCTTGTACAGTAGTACTACCTCACTCACAATAATAATACATGTACATACTACATACACATTACCACCCTCATATACATAGGATGCCCCATATACATATACGTATAGTAAACCCTCCACTCACATCAGCTATTGCCCGACGAGCCTCAGAGACCTCATCAGTCCTCGTTAAGAGTCTTTCCTGAAGATCTTCCATTCGTTTGTTCAATTTATTAGCTCCTCCTCCTGTACTGCCCCCTCCTTCTCTTAGATCCTATCAATAATCACTAATGAGTGAGTTATTAGTGTAGGCTCACCCTCCCCAGTTCATTGTTCTGGTACTCCAGTCTAGTGATGTCCTTCTTTAAGTTTTCCACTTGATCAAACAGCCGCCCGTCTG